GCCTGCGGTGAAGCATGTCGCGTGAAACGTTCATAGAATATCATCTACAAATTAACTTCATTAAGCACTGCCAAGGTATGTAGAAATTCTCGCTATGGTACTCGCGGTGCCTATTATTAAGATCTAGTTAAAGAGAAATTCAGACGGAAGAAGCAGAGGTTCCCGCGCAACATCTTCAGAACCACAACCGTATCCTGTCTATACGGAACTGTTGCAGCATTCAGAGGTCCCAGTCATACTAATAATCCAATGTAACAACAACACATGCACGGAACAAGAAAAAGCACGGTAATTGCGCGAAAAGTTCGTAAATGGACCAACATGTATGGTGTGGTCATCGACGTGCGCGTTGTATGAGAGCCTGTCCAGTGGGATGCGATCGGTAGCAACAGCACTCTCCTGCACCGCATACAACACCCTGCCCTCACAATCGGTCACGAATGTCTCCAGTACGAACTGCTTTCGTTTGGTATTATAAAACAGCGTGGGGAGAAACGTGCTTCCAGACGCCTTCACAGCAAACATGCAGTAGCACAGCCATCGCCGATGACGGAACGAACGATCGTACCTAGAACGTTCCATCGAAAGCAGCAGAAGGACTCAGTGCACTTCGCTGTGCTCGAGAACGAACGAGCGATCAGAAGAGCAAACGCCGGGCTGGCTAGGAATGCAGCCTTAATAGGCGTGCCGACGGCGGGCTGTCAAAACGACGCACTCACAGAGCCAAAAGAAGAGGTAAATTTAAAGAACTGCCTACCAGACGAGCACATCCCTGGTACCGGTGCTTAAGTTCACTCGAATGGTAGCGCCGACCCGCGGATCGAAGAGATACGCGAACTGGCCCTCGCCATCAACCGCAAAAGCGTTCACCGCACCAAACACACCATCAATCCCGAGACGCTGCATTGTCGAAGCGGCCAGGCCTGGAACATCGAAGCGAAGCAAGGCACCCGGAACCAGTCCACTCCGCAGATTCGACGATGAATACCGCAACGGGCTTCTTTTTGAGGATGCAGTGGGATGGGGTAGGCCGACGCGCTGCACCTGCAGGCCAGCAGCTAGGAGCGCACTGTCCCTCCGCGCATCGGCCCCAATAAAAGCGCCCCTAAACGAAATATTTTGAAGGGACCATGAGCATCCTAAGAAACTACACCACCAACCGTTCTTGAAAGTCCGCAAAAAATAATTTTGCTGCGTTTTTGAAACAATTCACCATATTTCATGAAAACGCGTCAATTCTGAAGAGCATTTCGGACATTTCTTCTAAAATGCATCCGTTTCTCAGCGCTGAGAAGTATCAACACATCCCATACGGAAAGAGAGTGCTGAGTTTTAAATAACCCGATCCTCGGGCTTTTTACGGAAAATTCGTCAAAAATTGGGAACTCGACTACGAATTTTTTTGCTAATAACCACCTATGCTGTATGAAAACGAGACCGACTCCAGTGCCTGCAGAGCATGTTTGTCCATCAGGGAGCAGCCGGAGAAGGCGAGAGAGACCGCGAAAGCAAACGAACCGGCGAGGAGTCGCCAGCAGCGCAAGCGCCCTAGCCAATAAGACGGGCTCGGCGCCGCTGCTGGCTCGGGCACGCACTGGCGCCCCACTAAGGCCCCGGGAGAGCAACCCGCCAATGGGATGACCCGGAACTGACGAAGAACACGGAGGAGAGACAACGCACGGCCCCAGTGCCAGCCTCCGGCGCTGGGCGCTGCACTGGTGGTCAGCAGAAAGGCTTCAAGCAGCCAGCGGCAAGAGGACTCGGCCCGCATTGCGCAACTCCAAGAAATAGTAAAAGCTGGTCGAAAATGCCCCGGGCAAGGGCGGCT